TCATCGTCATGAAGGGCTGCTTTTTACCACTAAAAAAAGTTTAAATGGCAAAACATCACTTATATCTGGATAACCCCTCGTTCTCTGTTGCTCTGTTTCAGGAGACCTGGGAAATGCTTGTTTGGATGAATTGAGGATCCTGTGATTTCTCTGCTCTCCTTTTCCCTCCCTTGCCGTTTTGTTTAAAGTTACTTTTTGACTTGTGGCTTTTTGGTGTTAATTGGTGTGAAGTAGTGTTGGTGCAGGTTTTCCTCAAAGAAGCAAAAACAGTTGTAGTTTTTGCTGCCCCATCACTTCCATTAGCGGCTATTGCTCTGAGCCTTGCAGAGAAGGCATCAGAGGAATTTAAAATGGCCTGTTCTTTTGTTAAATCTCAGTTACCGTGGGTTTTTTGTTTGTTTGGCCCAAGATTATCAGAAAGATTCATAATTTGGAGGAATTGCTGCCAACTTTTTCTTTGGGTTATTTTTTCTTTAGTAGAGAGAAAAAGATCTAGGTATATTGTCTGATCTTGCTTTTCCTCCAGACAGTCAGATGTATTATGGTCTGTTGGGAGGGAAAGGTCTTTTCATGAAATAATTTTATAATGATTTCTCTGTTGGTTTTCGTGGCTAACAGAAAACAAACGATGAAATTCCTAGCTTGATGACTGTACTGTTTTTATAAATGCCTGTATCTATGTATGTTGGAAAAGGATTTGTCTCCATGCTTGATTCTTCTCTTTAAGTATTCAGATTAATCCTAAAAGTGTTTACTCAGATGTGACGAATTACAAGTGGATGAAATTACATTGTTGTCAGATTGACTCATTGTCCTGCTTCTCTCCCCCAGTTGAGAACATTGACTTCTAGCTCTGAAGAGTTTCCTCACTCAAAGACCTGGGTTTTACACAGATGACATATCTCCATTGTTAGAGGTCTAGAGGGTTTTGATAGCTGGTTTTTGAGATGATAATCAAGGATAAGAGAAGAAAAAGACCAGGGGGCAGGACAGCTGGAAGGGAAGGAAGATCAATACCTGTCTCTCTGACTTAATTATAACAAGCTTTCCGCCAAAAAAGATGGGCAGGGTCGTTAAGCGAGATGAGGAGAGCGGGGAATGTTTTAGGATATATCAGCTGGCAAGCAGTTTGAAATGCCCTCATGCCACGTAAAGCATTGCCCCAGCAGCTGGAGCATGGGGCAGTGGAGATTATCTCGGTGTGGCTGTATCTCTTAAGCAGTTGCTGCACATTAGTCTCCAGGTCTTCATGTCTTTTATAATCAGTGATGAGAGTGTTGCTTGGTGGCTAGAACATGCTGCACTCTGGTGTCTCCCTTCACTCTGTATAAAAAGGAAAAGTAATAATTGCTTCTCTGTAAAGCTTTTTCTAGTTCTGTTGTTGATAAATAATAAGACTATGATTATTAGAAGTAGGTTTTATTTTGTAGTCTTCTAAAACACTTTAATCTTAGGAAGAGGAGACTGTAGATGTAGAGTTTGGACTAGAAGGCCTCTAGGGCAATATCTGTTTCTGAATATTTCTGCGTAATTCTATGAGAGTTTTTATGGCAAACTGAAGAGGAAATTTGTTCCTTGCTGTACTCAGCATTTTGCTAAACACTGTTCATTCCCAATAGCTAAAATAGCCTGAATACCATGAGGGCTTCTTACTAACCTATAACTATGTTAATGCCTTTCTTGCCACAAGGGTAGTTTCTCTCAGTAAAAAGCCAAAAAATTGCACACTGCAGAATGCACCATGGACATCATTGCCAACAAACCACTAATGCAGCTTCCCTGTGAAAATGAAGCAGTATTTACAAGGCTGCCTTGCTTTGGGGAAAACTTTCAGTGGAAACTAGTTGCCATGAAAGGAAAATCTGGTCTGATGGAAGTGTTTGGTTGGGTTTGGGTGCTTTGTTCTACCTTCAGGTGCACAGAATCTGCAAAGTGCTTGTGCCAAAAGCCTGTTTTCTAGTAAATGCTCTGTTACTTCGAGCTTTATGAAACTCTGAAAATAGTTTAAATAGGCTGCAGGCATGGGGCCCTTCTCACAGGCTTTGGCATTGCCAGTTCTGATAACGTGAGGGTCAGTTATGTTTGGATACCGTTTGGTGGCTAGCCTGCCTTTAGAGTAACAGTTTGCTGTGCTTGCCATTTAACAGTTACCAGTTTAGATAAGATAGGAGAGATTCATATCTTTGAATCCTGAAGAAAGGAAAATAAGACTCTGAATCTGGTCCTAAAGCTGAAGATCTTGTCTTAAATTCCTGATGAGAACCTAAAGTAAGGTTGACTTGACAGTAACACAGGATTGCAGAATAGGGTTGGGGGAAGAAGGGTGTCTTATCTGCTCTTCGCAGACAACAGCTTGTTATTATCTGTTGGGGTGACTTTAACAGAGATTAAGGAAAACAATGTGTATGTTTCCGTGAGCAAAAACAAGCACCTTCCCTTGGTAAGAAGTGTCCAGGAAATTTTTCATGGGGCCCTGTGTAATGCCATAGTTCTGCTGCTGTGGAATCAGTCTTATAAATTCATAGCCCAAACTCAGTAGAGACCTTCCTGATCATGGTGTTTTACCGCTTGCGCACAATGGGCCAAAGAATTTCCTACACAAACTTTAAATATATGTATATTAAGGCACAGAGGTTGTTCTCCTGATTTACATTTCTGAATTTAAGCTTTCCCCTTGCAACTTAATCTAACTCGAATTAATATAAATGCAGCTTTATAAAATTATTTCATTGCTAGGGAGAAAGATACTTGTATGCACTTACGGCACTTGGAATAGTGGTAGGAGGAGGCTTGTGGGCTAGCACAGGCATCTTAACCACTGCTTTCTAGCCCTGTTAAATGCCTACAACTGATCTAAAGTAACACTTACATTGCATTTTATAGCTCTGAAAAATATATGCAGTTTTCCCTGTGTAAAAATTCCCTGTGTAAAAAGCTAGAAATTTTACTGCACTGCTGGGAGCAGCGAGCTGTCACTCATTCAGCTCCTCACACTGTCTGTCAGCTTTGGAACTTGGAGACAACATACATTGGCACAAGCACTTGTTTTGCAACAGAAACATCCATTATACTTACGCTTTGCCTCCCGGACACCTTTTAGTATGTTGTGAGAAAAGCCTGCCCTTGGCTCTCCGAGGTGCTGCAGCTTTTTTCCTCTGATGATTTCTGATGTAGTTACAATTGCCAATAGAGAAATTGCTGGCAGATTGAAAATGTGTCAGCAATGTCAAATGAACTGTTATTTCAAAATGCACACAGAAGATCCTGCTGATTTTGTTGTATTAGTTTACATTTATTCTTAATTTCTAAAAGTTATGAATTGTTTTGGTATTTTTTTTTTAAATCGGAACAGAGCAGCCACTGAATCAACAGATTGCTGCCCTTTCAAGCAACAACAGTCAAGGCTAAGCTCATGGCATGAAAGACCATCTGGGCTTTGTCATCTCTAAAGACAGCCAGGAGTTGTCTAAACACAGAAAAAAGTTGCACTTGTAGCCATGTTCCAGTTCCACAAATATCTGTGCAAACTGTATTTAGCCTGTGGGGGAATAACAACCATATTTATTTCTTGAATAGCACCAAGAATGGTAGTACCACATGTTTCAGTGCCTAAAAATTTAGATGTTTTCTCTGTGTTTTCTCCTTTAACTTCCTCGGTGGCAGGGCACATGGTGTCCATGGCACAGCAAGGGCTTGTGAGGGCTTCATGGTGGTTGATTAGAATCTGACAAGGCCACGCATAGGCGGGGTAGCAAAGTGAGCTCAGCATGAAATGTGGCTGGCTGGGTGGGAAGAAAACTGTTCTCTTACATGTAAAAAAGTTAATTATGGTTTGGGGAGTGGGAAGTGTTTCCTGAAGCTGAGCACTAGTCAAATTAGAAGCGCTGTGCAGATACACAATCATCTCTCTTTTCAACTCATGTTGAAGATGTAGTGGAAAAGAGAAGATTTTGCTTTATATCGTTCGTGTGCACTTCAGTTACACAACTTCTTTGTTTGGTTTTATTTTTTTCTTCTCTCTCCTTTCTCCCACATCTCCATTCTCCAAACTGCCAACTACATCTACTGCTTGTATTTGTCTGAAGTGGGATTTCGAAGTACAGAAGCTTTGCCAAAGTTTTTTTTTGTGGTTTTTATTCAAGCTAACTTCTTCTATTTCTGTGGTTTACTTGGGGCTACATGTTCATCTACATGGAGATGACGATCAGAGTGGAAAATACAGGCATTTTGTATTTGGCCTAGCAATTACTTCTCATTCTGTAGGAAACAAAACAAACAGAAAAGTCCTGCTTACTCTCGAAATATCTGGTTGTCAGACCTCTTTTGCAGAAGCTTCCTATTGTATCCTTTTTGTAATGGACTGATAACAAGTGGGTTTATTCCCTTGCACATCACTTCTCAAAAAAAAAGGCATTCTGTTTGTTTGTTCATCTTTTCTTCCATTGTTCATCTTTTGTTCCTTTATGGTGAAATAGTTCTCTTTTCTCTTTCTCCAGTTTCTACTATTTTATACAGGCTGAATGGCTAACTGTATTTAAAGGTATTTGTAAAGTGCCTCTGGCAGAAAAGTTTAGGCACCTCTGTTCTTGCATCTCTGCTAATTGAAACGGCAAGAGAGACCATGCTTCTATTTCTGGCTGGCTGTGTTGGGTCATTATTTAAGGGGCAAGATGGGAAAGGGGGCTTGCTGTTGAAGAAGTCCAGAAGATTTGCCCAAATTTGCTGTTAATGTGATAAGATATTTTCACCCCTCCCTTCTCTGTCTTGCTCTTTTACTTTCTCTTCGCTTTGCAGGACTGCTTCAATTCTTTCATTGTCTTGCAACATGTGTCCATGGTCACAACCTGATGCTGTGGGGAACTGCTAGTCCAAGGCTGACTCTTTGCTTTTGCTGCAGGGTGATTCCTTGGGTTTGAAGACTCGTTGACATCACTGAGATTGACACTTGGACCTTCAAGAGAAGAGACTTTCTGACAGCCTGCTCCACTCCACCTGACCCTATGACTGGAGGGTTCACCGTCGCTCCATCCTTTGCTCTCCAGTTCCACAAGATGGGTTCGTTCAGAAGGCCCCGACCTCGCTTCATGAGCTCCCCGGTCCTCAGTGACCTGCCACGGTTCCAGGCAGCCCGGCAGGCTCTGCAGCTCAGCTCCAGCTCTGCCTGGAACAGGTGAGCAGGTCCCACCTGAGCTCTCTCCCTGCAGCAGCCTTGCGATAAGGGCCGTGAATGTCTGATCTTTGTGCTTCAGACCATTTATGGCTAAGCTCATCTGTTTATAAACATGCATGAATTTTTGGCATTCCTGAGCTTTGTCGACATTGAAAGCCTTCATGGAGGTGAAAAAATTAGACCTAGTAGTGATCAACCTTGGTTTTGGCCAACGTTGTTCAGAGGTACTCTCTTCAAGTAAAACAGAATTGCTCTTTGTTAACAGATGCATCTTTTAAGTACCATTTAGGAAAACACATTCCTAGTACTGTAATAAAGGCCAGTTTCTTAATACACAACAGGCATCTATTTGCATATTATGAAGCTTTTACCACAGTCAGGTTTCTCTAAACAACTGCTAAGCTTGTGGCTTCTACCAGCATTTCCTATTGACAGCCAAATCCTGTCTGCAGTGCATGTCATGCAGCAACGGCAACTGGAAAAACAATGTGTAGGTTGAAGAGTGAGATGTCCTGATCTGATCTAATGGCCTGCTGCTACCAAAAGTGGGTGTTCCCACCTTCCCTTCTGCCACCTTGCGCCTGCTCTGCACTCTGCAGAACCATCTCTCTTGCTGACCTAGCTCAGCTTACTAATGTTGCACAAAAGTAGCCTGGCAAAAACATTGCAGTTTTGTGCCAGGATAGCGAGCTGAGGTCTGTGACGCATGCAAATGCCATAACTGGCCCACAGAAGGGAATGCCCGTTAAGGGAATGACACCTCCTCTTGTTAGCCATGGCTAGCCTTTAGACCTGCTAAACCATCTTGTATGCTGTCACTTTATGACTTTCTCTGTGCTGGTGACAGAAGCATGAGTTAGAAGATCCTCCAATATCATCTTATAAGCATTAACAGGGCTAGAAGTTGGGTCTGACTGAGGTGATGCTGGCTGCAGACTGTCTTCCAGCACAGCCAGGGTCCTGTCAGACACTGCAGATAGGGTGTTCCTGCTAGCATCACTGGATCATGCCTGAACATGAGCCAGCAGTGTGCTCAGGTGGCCAAGAGGGCCAAGGGCATCCTGGCCTGTATCAAGAATAGTGTGGCCAGCAGGACCAGGGAGGTGACAGTGCCCCTGTACTCGGCACTGGTGAGGCCGCACCTCGAGTCCTGTGTTCAGTTTTGGGCCCCTCACTACAAGAAGGACATTGAGGTGCTGGAGCGTGTCCAAAGAAGGGCAACAAAGCTGGTGAAGGGTCTGGAGCACAAGTCTTATGAGGAGTGGCTGAGGGAGCTGGGGTTGTTTAGTCTGGAGAAGAGGAGGCTGCGAGAGGAAACGGCCTCAAGCTGCGCCAGGGAAAGTTTAGGTTAGGTATTAGGAAAAACTTCTTCACCAAAAGGGTGGTCAAGCATTGGAACAGGCTGCCCAGGGAAGTGGTTGAGTCTCCATCCCTGGAGGTATTTAAAGATCGGATAGATGTGGTGCTCGAGGACATGGTATAGATGGACTTGGCAGTGCTAGGTTAACGGTTGGACTTGATGATCTTAAGCGTCTTTTCCAACCTTGACAATTCTATGATTCTATGATCGATTCTATGATAATGTAATGTGATGTGTTTGGCAGATATTGCCAAAAATCTGTGTGTCCTCATAGCAACTAGCCTGCAGCACAGAGCACAGATCCCCTAAACAGTCGTGTTAAAGATATATCTGGTGTGAACGTGTTCTTTGTGAACAGTGTCCCTGTAACAACTTTCTCTCGCTTACTCTAGGCACCAACTTGAGGTCGGTTCTGTTCTGCCTTCCATGAGAGATGTAGTTAAATAAGAGTGATGATTTCCAGGAGAGAAAGAGTGGAAGTATTTAAGTGCAATTAACCTCTCCACCCCATTGTAACCACTCAGCTTTTGGCGGCTAGCTCACGTTGTGCTCTGTGTTAAATCATACTGGTGGCTGTTATTTATGGATGTTGTACTGTCTCATTTCTTTTTTGGCAGTGTTCAAACGGCAGTGATAAATGTGTTCAAAGGGGGAGGCTTGCAGAACAATGAACTTTACACCCTCAATGAAAATATCAGGTAGGTTGCTGAAATGCATGAAAAGGGATTTTCGCTGCTGCTTGTTTGGTGTTTGCTTGGTTTTGTTCCCCTACAGAACCACAGTTAGAGCATATTAGTGGGAGGAGCAGGGATCAAAGCAAACTTAAGCACAGCTTTGGGGTTTCAGGCTAACTTACTTCTTTTTTGCTATTGGGTGGAGTGAATGGCATGGGGCACTTGGATAATGTTTCTCTGACTTGTGTGGATGTGTAGCTTTGACAAGGATAGGATGTGTATTGGCTTGGATTATAAGGATTTTGTCCCCTCCTAGAGAGTTTGCCTCTTCTGGCTGTTTTTTACACATTTTTATCAGGGCATTCATGATGGTGGTAACATCTCTTTTCTCAACCCAAGCTTCTCAGAACAGTGGAGTGTTTAAAATGAAAGCAAAACACAGCATTTCATTTAAAAGCTTAATCTTCACAGGATAATTGCAGAGCAAGACCTGAAAATATGAACCCTAAAGATAAAAAAACCTAAAAACCTAACAAACATTTTCTAACACTGATGCTAGTGATGGTTAAAAGTATCATTTTTTTCTTTATCATTTTTTTTTAATCATCGAGTCTCATGATTATCTGTGGTTTCATTCTGATTATTTGGAAACTTTGGTTAGCAATAGATAGGACTGTAGAGTAGATAAAGAACAATTTATTCTTGCCTTGCTTCCAAGTGCTGCTAAGAGGAGTATTGTCAGAGCTCATGGATGTAGTTTGTCCTCTCTCTCTCTTTCCCACTACATCCATATTAATTCAGCATGAATGCTGTCATATAGATCTCCGCTTCTCCTTTTATATGCCGCCCTCATCCCTATTGCATTTTTCCTGAGCACCAAGATTCAAATAGCAATTGGGGCTAAGCACATACTAAGTAGCCATTTAAACCCTTTCCCTACTTTCAAAATAAATGCAACTTGCAGGACACAAGACTCTGTCCTACTTGGTCTGGTCCCAAAGCTGAAAGTTTAATATAATTCCTTCTGAGAGCTGAGCGAGGGCAGTGTCTCAGGCCTTAATGGTATTTTAGAGTGCTCAGGTCAGAAGTCCTCAAGTTAGGTTTAAGTACTTGGAGCAGTGTTAATTCTCCATGGGACGAGTATTTCTGTACATGAAAAGAAAAATAAGTATCGTAAGACTTTGGAAATACCCTAACCCGCAGCATGTTGGCAGACTTGGGGACTGGCCAGGCTGTTGCCTGCCATGGTGGCTGCTTTCCCTCCCCAGTGCAAGCAGGTGCTCCTTCCCATCCTTGCAGGGAGGCAGTACGCTGGGTGGAATAGCCATGTTGCCTGGGCTTGGCCCCAGTGGCTGGACCATGCTCTCTGCATGTTGGTTACTGAATTGGATCTAGACTGTTGAGAGCCAGGCGAAGAACAGGAAATTCTTTGTGAACTGCGTATGCTTTGTAAGCAGTGCTGATGGTGGGAGGGGAAAGGCTCTCTTCCATGGACAGGTACTCCCAGGCAACACTTGGAAGCACTCACCTTGAAATACATGATTAATGTTTCTGCAGGTGCCCTGAGCATTGGCTACATCTCCAAATGTCATTCTTTAAATAGACCACTTTAGCATTCAAGTAGCTCATTAACGGCTGCCTAAGGAGCAAAGGACATGCATCTGCATGTATGTTTATAGGCACACCTGCAGCCTCACATCTGTGACTCTTATTGTAGCTCCCAACACAATGTTAGCTCTGTGTGCGCGAGGTGAATCTCTAGCTTTATACTGGGCAAAAAGCCAGACCCGTCAAACAGCCAACTCTTGTGTGCCATTAGGTTGAGCTGGTGCATTTTCCTTGTTTGTAGTTCTCCATTCAGCTCCTTGGTGGGAGTTAGCAAATGCAGTGCTTTAAGACACTCACAGATTCTGCACAGCACTTAGTTATTTGACAGTGGGAAACGCAGGAGAGTTTTAAAGTAGGACAGTAATGACAGGACCAGAAGACGAGCAGGTGGTAACATTTTGCTCTGGATTGCTGCCACCAAGTTTTTATCTTGCTGTGGTTTGATATCATCTCACTGGATACTTTTTTTTTACTTCTCTGAAAGTCAGTTGTCACAGCAAGAGGAAATGTAAGAAATGCCATCAGGAGATGGGATTTCAGGAAGCAGGAGGTGACCTGGCCGTGATTAGGTGGAGACCCCTCCCTTGGGTTGTCTCTAGGGTGCAAGCCTCCAGTTGCTGGTCTGCCTGTGTGAGGTGAAGTCTTGCCATGGGCTTGTCAATCAGCTGGTGGAGAGCCCCCTGGATTCTGCTGAAGCCGGTGGAAGGGCTTCTGGCGAACAGGCCCCCAAAGACTTACCTGGTTTATCAGTCTCACAGAAATAGAAATGTGCTTTGAGATGGGTGGGGTGAATATAACCGCTCTGAGAGAGAAAGAGTAAAGGCATGTTGGCATGCGAATAAATGTAGAAGTGTTACAAAATGGTTAGGGAGGAAGGTTGCTGTCAGAATTGACTTTCAGCAAAGATTAGGAAAAAGTAGTGTAGTTTGTTAGTAAGAACCCAGCCTGAGAAGTGGATGGTCCTTGATTCAAATGCCATATTTGAGCACTCTTGATTATACTTCACATTGTTGAAAAGCAACACTCTTAAAACAGAAAAAAAATTGCAATGTTCTGCAGTGGAAAGTGTTGGCCGCCTTTTAAATTTTAGGCAGAATTTACTGCTACAGAATTTATGCTCACAGCCACTGAAAGCTGAAAGTGCAAATGCTCTGAACTTTGTGTGTTTTTTTAATACTTCTTCTGATGTAAAACAATCCTGATTTTTATATTGAAGTTTTGAAATATAAATATGTATTAGAATTTAAAACTTTTATCACAGCCTGATTTAAAATCCAACAGATTTTACCAGAAATACTTGTTTAGAGTGGCTTCTGCCTGCATGTATTTAAAATGCATCTTGTTAAATTTCTAGAATTTCTTTCTTGAAAAATATGCCGCCTTTTTTTTTTTTTTTTTTTAAATGTGGTAGTCAAGGGGAAGCCGCAGCTTCTGCTTGTGTGTTTACTTCATTGCTCCTCTCCTTATCCTCCCACCTTCTACTTCCAAGAGAAAAGGAAGTACAGCATTAGGGAGATATGCTATTTTCAGTGAAATGAAAGGTGTCTTTGTTTAAACAAAAAGCAGAAAAAATGATTCATTTCAAACTAAATAACTTCAAATTGTCTCCCCAACTTTCTGTGCATTCAGGGTGGTAAATGTTTTGGGTTTTTTTTGCTTGTTCTAGGTGTATGGCTTATAAATAGGAGACTTCAGGGAAACTGTTTCATTCCTTCATAATTTGAGAATAGCCTTTGTGGGCATTTATAGAATAGATACCTAAATGTAAAAGAAATCTAACTCTGGCCAAAATGACACATTCACATATACTCATGTATCTTTGGTATGACTGGTAGTAAAGTGTGGATATACTTGTAAGAAATGACCAGCAATAGCTGTTACTTCATGGCTGCATTCCTTCTGTCTACAGACGGCTGCTGAAGAGTGAACTTGGATCCTTCATCACAGATTACTTTCAGGTATTACATGATTTGCTTGCTTTCTTTTGAGGTTTGCTCTCTTCAGCTTTTTAGTCTGTAAAAAAATTAGGACCCCTTTTTCCATGCACATATCTTACAAGTTTCATTTTTGTTTTGCTACAGAAGATGTTGGAGGTACTGGACTTTTTTAATGCGGGCCATATAGCCTTGGGAGTAATCATATTTATGGGTGTATGTGCTAAATTAAGGATAATCTTTCTTTGCGCTTAAGAAGGGCTGCTAGTAGCCTGCCAAGGTCAAGAAGGAGTTCACTTGAACTTTTTAAAGATGATGGGATACCTTTTCATATTTTTTTTCACCCTATTTCTCTAGTATAGAGAATTCAGGAGTAGGTTTTCTGCAACAGGGGCCAGCAAAGGGGAAGAGAAAAGATAACGGCTGTCTGTTTTGGGGGCGGGGGGCAGAGAAGGAAGTCTCTAATCAACCTAGGTACTGTTTGCCTTTTAGTCCCACAAATATAAATGCAACCTGCGAAAAAACAAAAGATGAAGGATGAGGGAAGACAAATGTGAATAAGTGTTATTGCCTTTTACCGATACTGTCCAGATAGACAGAGGTTCAAATGTAACCACATGAAAGTGTGTTGGATGATTTTGAGAGAGCACTGATGGCTTTCAGTGTTGTAAGTTGTTCAGTGTAGTGTTGATTAAAAAAAAGGAGGAGGCTGCTGAAAACAAGAGCATTTTCTTCCCTTTGAGTAAGACAGAGAGGGAGAGAAAATTTCAGTACTTTCTGAAGTGGCTGACGGTTCTTCGTACTGTGCTAGCAGCTTAGAAAGGGGAAAAAGAAGACTAGTGTTGTTTCCTATCAGTATTAGATTACATGACTTCTTAAAAAAATCCCCCACGCTGTGCTATCAAGTGAGAAGCAAACTCCTGCCCCAGGGGTAGTCATGTTTCACTTCTTTAGACCCTATCTGCACAAGCTGTTTACTGGAAAGAGGTGGCTGCTGGCGCCGAATGGTGGGACGGTTCCTAGACTTTGAGTGGGGTCTGGTGGCAGCCTGGCGGCAAGGCTGTGAGCCTGTAGCGCAAAGTGTCTGGTTTAAGTGGAAGTCTGCTACTGCTCCTGCTAATTTAAAAACAGGCAAATGCAAGTTTGTTACTAAATATATGTGGCGAATTGAAATTTGAAAGGTCTTGATCAGGTACCCAGGTACTACAGTGTTAGGCATGGTGTGCAAGGCTGGAATAAGCAGAAAATGTCCAGAGGCAACTTCATGCACCCGTAAGCCTGAAGAGAGCATGGAGATGAGCATGGTCCCGAGGGATGTGAGGTGCTGACGTATGACTGTTATCTGGTTTTGAAAATTCATAGTGTACTGAAAGAGGCCTGGGTGGGTTCCAGTGCTGAGTAGGACACAGCTGCATCGTGTCGCTGCGCAAGAGGAGCAAACAACTGCTGGGGACCGGATGGCTCCCAGCGCTGGGGTTTGAATGTGTTGTTCTCTTCCACCAGACTGTAAACCTCAAACCTGTCATAGTAATGCCAGGGCTAGTGGCATTAGCTGACACTCCTTAGATCTTTTAGTAGTAGAGCTGACAACTGAAGAGACTGCTTAGACTACAGCCTGCTCGCTGCTGGAGGCTGGATATCTGTGTTGCATCGCTCTTAGCAAGGGAGCATCTGATCTTGTCCTGGGAGAAGGATCTGATCACCAGCACTGTTTTCTGCAAAAGCAGGAGCAAAAACTGCTCTTTCACCTTAATGGCAGGGCTGTACTACTTCAGCCACAGGCCATGATCACAATGTAGGTACTCAGCACTGCACTGCTGCTGAGAGAGTGCAGAGAGAGGCCTTTGCCTCAGAGAGCGTGCAGTGCAAGGGCTTGGCTGCGCTCACCTCGAGTTTGTTTTTCCGTCAGTCTGTTCACACTTGTGTAAATACCTCAGTGTACATGTATAGTTCACCTGCAGCTGCTGTTCTCCCACTGAAGCCACTGGGACTCCAATTTAATTTCTGGGATTTTTTTTTTCTCAATGTTAAAAGGAGTAACTTGGCATCCGTCAGACTTAGCCTGAAGTAAAACTCTTGGTGCTGGCAAGCCATGAGACAAACTGTGAGATAAAGGCTATTGTAGGAAATAAGCTTTTTTCCCCGCTGTGAGCTAAGATGCAGACTTATTTCTGATTCTAGACTGACAGCACGTGGCAATAATAAAAGTTACCACTCCCTCCTGAATGTCCTTACTCAGAAATCCTCAGGCTGTGGAGTGGGGAAAGACTATTCAGTTGTCTGTGGGTTCAGTTTCACTGCTGATGCCAGCTGATTTATGGCAATACTGCTGCCACCAAGATGAGTAGAGTTGAATCAAACTGCTGATTTGGTTGAAAAACAACCTTGAAAGAAAAAATAAAGTTTTCAACTACTTCATTTGACTTGTTGTGCTCATCATCTGTGACATGGGGGAGGTGATGGGAGCGGGTCACCAGGATGGGGAGTGGAGTGAAAGTGCATCTTTTGGCAGCAATTTCCTCCTCTGTCTGTTAAAGCCCACTGAAAAGCTGTCCCAAGAACCAAGTTTACTGCTCTCTTAGACTGAAATGGACCCTGAAGTATCTGCTTTCCTCTGTAACCAGGCAGTTTTAAATATCCTAGCAGCAATTAGAGCAACTAACTGGATCATGTAATATTTAGATGTGATAAATTGACTTAAATGTTTTCCATTTCTTATGCCACAGCACTTGTAACAGGAGCCATTAAGATAATTTTTAAAATCACATTTTCCATTGTTTTAAGAGTTCTGGCTCTTGCATTGTGTATATTTTATACACACACACACACACACACACACACACACTTTTCCTAACCAGTGAATGCTTAAGACTAAAATGGAGCAGAGCTTTTGTAGTGAGACAAATCTACCTTTGTGATCAACTTGATTACTCACAAGTCCTTTTCACCAGCACTCATGCAAATTACCAGTTTTTAGCTCCTGAAGTTGCTAAAGGAATGTTTAGGAAATGGATGGGCTTTAGGCAATCTTTCTCTGCTACCAAACCGTCATCATACCAGAGTTACTGAGTCTGGTTTGTATTTGAAAGAGAAATGTAATTCCTGTAAGGGTTTCAGTGGGAACTCAGATGTTTCATTCTGAGGGAGATTTATGTTTATAAATCTGCTCTTTTAGCAACCCTATTACGTATACAAGCCATCTTTTTGGATCAGAGTCTGAGTGTAAATGCCAGCTAGTTGAGACTTATAATATTTGCTGCAGATCTGCTTTAAAGCAATGCTTCATGCTCCAGGTTTTCCAGTACTAACTTTGCCCATGAACTGATCCCATAGTTTCCTGCTACTGAAAAGGGGCACTTTGTATGCACCCCTCTGCTTAGTAACCCAGCAGGGCACCATCTGCTCTCACTGCTGGGTCAGTTCTCTGGTCGTCAGCTGAACCGCAACAGGGAGGAATCCTATGACCATGGAAGGTAAGAGGCCGGGATTTGGAGAAACAGGGTGTATTGGCGATTGGGACTTCTCTGGGGCAGCTGTAAGATTTTTCTGATAAGCTCCCTTCATTTTCATGCTGTCTGACCCTCATGGTTATGGAGAAAATTTTTGAAATATAAAACTAGTGAGTGTTGATAAATTGATGCATTATCTTCCTGATTCTGCAAACAGCCTGAAACAAAACCTTTGGAAATGATGAACTGTTTCTTTTCACTCTCTGGGGGCTTGTTAATCTTGAAACTCATGGGGGAAAATGGAAATGCTAGCTTTTTCACAGCTAACCATTTTAGCAGAACTGCCCGGTTTACGCATGTAACTCCAAACTGTCTCCTCCTGAGACACAGAGACCTGATCCCTTCCCAGGCACTGTAACCTCTCCCAGCACCCACGGGCTGCAAATGCAGAAAGTCAGATGCCCGGAGTTGATGCCTCTCCAGCCTGATGTCCACTGCCTGCGCTGGCAGAGCTCGTAGGTGAGGGTTGGCAAGTAGACTGTATTTCCTCATTTAATCCAATGAGAGCTTTGATGTCTTAAAACCAGAAGCGAAGCTGTTACATAATTTCTAGCCTGCTGCAGTGGAGAGCTGTGGGAGGTGACAAGTCCTGACTCAGAATTAAGCTTGGCTTTCTATTTGTATGCAAAACCATAGAAACTGCAACGTGCAAGCACCCATGTTGCTAGGGTGTCGAGCAAAGTAAAAATAGCAAGATGATAATGGATAGCGGCAAAAGTAAGCAGCAGCAGCGATGAGGCAAGTCTGGATCCAAGCCAAAATTGATTTTGTCCTCTCCCTTTAGAGCGGTCAAAATTGGGACTGGTGAACCTTCCTGTGGTCAGAGTCCCTCTCGCTGTAGGTTATCTGGCTACGCAAGGCAGCTGCAGTGGTAGGGGGAAGCATGCATTCCCCCCTCTACTGTAGCACCATAAAGCTTTTGCTTAAGTCCCTGCTGCATGTCTTTCTGGGACACCAGCCTATCCAGCATCTCTCGTGATGCTTGCTCTCCTTTGAAAGGCTGCTTTGTAAAGTCATGCTAACAGCTGAAAATGCCATGTGTCCCTCTCTCCTGCTTAGTCAAATTGAAAAACCTGATGTGTGTGACATTTCTTTCCTTGGTGCCAGGTTTCTACTTTTACCTGTTTCGCAGCAAGGCAAAGAAATAGTTGTGTGGGTCATTGGAGTGATGGTTATTGCTGGATAAAGGCAGTGCTAGCTCTTCTCTGGCCAAGTGCTGTCTCATGCCTGCTGCCAGGGGCTGCAGCAGCTCGGCCACTGCACAAGGGGAGAGAATTCACACTTGTGTGATTTGCAGAGCTCAGCTGTATGTCTGCAATACTCTTTCAGGTCAAGCTGGTCTTTATTATTGTATTTCTCTCCTTGCTGGCTGGGAATCCCTGTTCATGCAGGTCTGCTAATTATTTCTGCTTCAACTGGCACTTTCTAGGACTGAGCTTTCATGGAGCAGCTCCAGAGACTCCATAGCAACTGCCCAGCTTCGTTATCACAGATGGGGTCACCCGGCAGCTCAGC